CCCGCCATTAGCGCCGCCTCCGCCGCCTCCTTGCAGCGAGAAGGTCCGCTTGCGTGTCCCGCCATTAAACATAGCCTTGACGTCCTCCCAAGCGTGGCTCAGTTCGTCGGTGGCCGACTTGTCACTGAGTTTGAGGTGCCGACGCCACGAGTTGAAGTTGGCGGCGTCGGGCTGAGTGTACTTGGCGTCGGGCGTGCGGTGCGAATGGAAGATGAACTTGTTAGGTGAGAAATACATGCTGCAGTAACCGCACTTGATGCACTTGGCACGGGAGCTGTTGTAACGGGCAGGAATGAAGCTGCCCCGAGAACCCCACGCGCACTCGTGCACTACGTCAAAGGCGAAGTTCTCGGGGAGTTTGGGTGGTTTGTGCTCACCCAGGAATGATTTGCACAGGCGTTCAGCCTCTCGTTTCGTGATCATGCCGCAACGGCGAGAGGAGATGGGCATTGCCCCGGCCCGACGCAGGATCTCCAGCTGCACCGGCGTGCACTGCACGCACGTGATGCCCAGGGCCACGCGGCGATTGTGGATCTCATTGTAGCTATAGTTTTTGAGCAGGGTGTTGGAGATCTGGGCTAGGCACAGGCGCTCCTGCCCATCAATGACCAGCGACACGATAGGCACCCCGTACAGCGACGTCTCGCCCACCTGGTTGGGTTTAAGAGCGCTGGATCCCGAATAGGGCTGCAATTCTTGCTTGGAGTTGGGAGAGGAGCTGCCCTCGCGCCCCGGCCCCAGCTGAGTGGTGAGAGCCTCCATGCCGCCGCTCCTGCGAAATAGAGAGAGCAGAGAGCAGATGAGCCATTTTTAGCGCTGCTACCTCGGTTCAGGCCCGCCCAGCGGGGCACAAAGTGTAGGGTGCGAGGGGGTTACTTGGCAGTGGGGAGTCCAATCTCATTCATCCCCTGGACTGGCCCCTTTTGTTATTCAGACCCGTGTCTGAGCAGAAACAAAAGCACCCGGGGGCTAAGGGAGGAAAAGGGGAAATCGAAACCTCAGAAAAGCCCGGGATGCCAGGAACCCAATCCTGTTTTCAGATTGGGAAGGAAGTGAGACCCAGAGACGGAGAGTGACTTGCCCAAGGCCACACAGCAATGCCATAGCCAAATCCAGGCTTTCCGGCCAACACGCAGGTTCGCTTGCTTTCAGCCACCTCTCAGCCTTCCCTGTCGGACAGGGTCCTGAAGCCCGGACTTCGGGGACCAGCGGCCCCCTCTGCTCAGTCGCGCATGCACGCGTGCGGGCGGGGGCAGTGAGGGGAGAGGTGGAGGCGAGGGAGGGGCAGTCACTGCCCGTCACCAAACTGCGGGATGTAGAGGTGGGGGCAGAGAGAAGGAGGAGGAATGGAGGTTGAAGAAGAGCGTAAGAGGAGGCCATCGCTGTTCGCGGTGCTGAACCCTACCCTTTCCAAAGCTTGTCACTTGCACCACGACCTCGGGTGTCCCCCACTCCACCTAGCTTCAAGATGACCGGCTTCCAGGGACAACAGGACTGGCTTGCACAAATCTGGACTTCTCTTCTGACGCCTTGCGCCCCGTGTTCCTTGAGCAGAAAGTGTCCAGCTGGATTTACAAAACGCTTTCTTGCCAGCCATCAGTTGGGCCAGGATCACACAGTTTTTAACCACATTTTCTGCATTTTAGCTGCATTCCAGACTAAAGCTGGCTTCCGTCTGGGTCAGCGCTTGGGACAGAGAGGTTCTCACAGAGGTTTCTCCGGAGTCATTTCTTAGCTTTTGAAAGCAGTCTTCCCTGAGCCTTCCTCCTTCACATATGTCTAATTACTTCAGGTCAAACACAGGCTCCCCAGACTCTGGCATGCTCCTTTTGTGGGGGTATCCCCTCTTGGAGTATTCTTCATGCCCTGATATCCCAGATCAGATGTGCTAGAAAGAATCTTGGCCACTCTTGGAAGCCACTGTAAAACTCCAGGTATAAAAAGTTGCTGGTGGTCTCCCGCTTTGATCTCTGGACTAGCCTGGTGGAGGACCCAGGAATGGATATTCAGGGCCTTCTAGGTCGCCTAGTCACTCAGACTCCAACCCAGTGCACGGCTGCAGGTGCTCTTGCAGCCCGTTCCAATCCCCAGGTCTCCCTCACCCGAACTTGGCTGGAAAAGCAAATCCATTGGTGTGTGTGTGGGGGGGGGCAGCTTCAACCTAATAGGGGCTTCGAATTCCAAAGCCTTCAGCGAAGACCCTGAAATCTTTGATCTAGTCTCTTTCCCTCCCTTTCTGTTTGCATAGATTATCCTTATTTGTCGATCTTATCTGTCCCTGAGCTGTCTGTCGCTGCCAGCTCACCCCTCTTTCGCCCATCTATCTTGTATCTTGTTCAAGTATCAAGCAATTTATCTATTATCTGTTTCATCTCTTCCAGTCAAACTGAAGCAAGTTGATCCTTCCTTTACACTGAAGTCCCTGGTAACATTTAGGAAGCAAACAAACCACTGTTCTAACTCCTTGGCTGAGGGGTCAACAAGGCAAGCCAGGCGTCCCAGAAGATTCTCAGAGAGGCTAAGGGGGTGGCTGTGGGGCATGCAGCTCTGGGAAATGACGATGGCTTCTTGGGTTTTCTGGGCAATGTACCGGCCCGCATACAGTGAAGAGGACACCCTGAGCCAGGAGCGTCCACCTGAAGCTGGGGTCTTGAGTCCCCAAGGGGTTTTCCCAGAGGGCTTCCGGCCTTGGAGCCCGAAGTGGGGAGCCCTAGGAACGAAACAGCATTTCGAGGGCCAAAGGAGAAAGCGCCTGCGAAGGGCCGCACT